GATAGATTGCGGTCAAAATTAGTCGCGAAACACATTTTTTACCAAGGTAGAGCCAAAGTGATAAGCCATTCACGTTGTTTACACAGTTTGGGATGGTAATTTTGAATGGCTAGTGCCTCGGCGTATTTCAGAACCTTGGTGTTGTTTGTGTTGTAGAGGATTCTGAACGCGTCGCGCACAATGGCACAGCGTTTCATTTCGACCGGGTGTTGTGTGATCGACGAACTGAGTTTCCTACGCGTCATTGGTGACCTCATACTTCCGAAGTTCCCACTCATTGTTTTCTGAAGCCAGACCGGGATGTGCTCAGTTACTCGGTAGCGCAGTTGTCTCTCCGTTCTGCCGATGTAGAAGGCCGAGCATCCACACTTGAACTGATAAATACAATTAGATCTTTCTCCGCCTATGATTCTGTTTTTTTACTGACCATATATTAATGATCTAATAGACAGCAGTATGCACGTTTACAGATGCAGCGAAAGGTTGCAGGATACATTGTGTAAAACATACTTCTCTGGTACTCCGTATCTCCGCAAACAGTTCCACAGTGTGGGGCGATCAATAGAGTCAAAGGCCACTCTGATATCCAAAAACACGACAGCAGTTTGCCGTCTGTATGCGTGGAGGTGTTCTAGTAGCTGGTGGAGGGTGAGGATTTGACCTATGTAACCACGGCGTTCACGAAATCCGAGTTTATTTTCATAAGATGGGCTTAATCTACGTAATAAACCGGACGCTAGTAGCTTCGGCGCTTATGGAATCACAGTTATGCACTTGTCGTTAGAACAGGCGTTGCGATAACCCTTCTTGTAGATGGGTGCAACAATCGATTCTCCCCATGTGTGCGGTGTATTTTCGGTTACGTAGATATCTGAGAACGGTTTCACAAACTCTTCTTCTTCACCATCTTTAAAGAGGGCAGGTGACAGGCCGTCTGATCCAGATACCTTGTGGTGTTTCAGGGCTTGGAGTTCTTTTCAGATTTTCGCTTCTATGGGTGGTTCCGTAGATAGTGACCAGAGTACACTCTCAAGAGAACCGCGTGGGACAGCCAGCGCGGGCGGCTGGTTGAACTGCGATGTGAAGTGCTCTGCCCAGCATTCCAAGCGTCGGTGAAGACTGTTTATTAGCGTGCCATCTACTTCGCAAATTGTTTCACTAACGCACTGTCTTTTGGGGCCTTTAGCACGGACGAGCTGGAATAGTTGCCGGGTGTTTCCGCACCTAGCTGCTGTTTCCATCTCCTTTGCACGTAGAGTCCACCAGGCCTCTCGGTTGTCTCTCAAACTCTTTGTGAGTTCACGCTTCAGAGAGAGGCGCTGTTCACGATCTGCGGTATTGCCCGACACGCGTCAAGAAGTTTGAGAGAATTAAAGGAAACCCAGTGATTCACAACTCGGCGGGTGTGTAAACTGACTGAGTGCATTGCGTTTTGGATGGTTGTCCAGTGTTTATGTACGCTTCTTGGTGGGGTAGTAGCTAGCCTTGTGGCCAACTCGTTTCGGTAATCGGCTAGCATGGTCGGGTCAGAAAGCTTGGTGACGTTAACCTGTTTGTATCACATCTTTTTGCGGCCACCAACTCGCATCGACAACTTGGCACAAACCAGTGCGTGGTCGGAGTCCAAGCAGGTAGATCAATACTAACGGAAGTCTCACGTATCATCTCCATCTATGGTTAATAGCTATATGATCAATCTGATTCCACGTTTGTGCCGGAAAAGGATTACTCCAAGTGGCAAGGTGACGCATTGAGTGTCTGAATTTCGTGCTAACGAGGAACAAACCGTGTTCTGAGCATATGATGATAAGTCTATCCCCATTATCTGAACGACAGCTATCAAGGCCATGACGGCCACCAAGGTGGGTCTTATCGGGTGACAGACGACCAACGCGTGCATTTAGGTCTCCGGTCAGGATCACGATATCCGTCTTAAATGCTTTGAGAAGAAGATCGTGTAGGTTTTGATAAAAGGCCTCCTTGACTGTATTCGGGCTACAGTCTGTGGGAGCGTATACAGAAACCACGAATAAGCATCGTTCATTTTGTTTCTGCTTTTTGACCTTACTTGAACCTCTGAGTCTCACTGCGCATTGTCGGCTATCTATCGAGATCCCATCCAATACACCAGCCTCGGCCCTGGCGCTCAAGGCAATACCAACGCCCGTTTGACAAGACGCTGGAGCGATAGGGCCCCCGGAAACGCGCAGTTGAAGCGCTTCTTTGGAATGGAAAGACACGTTAATTGGATCATCAGGTCCTGAATGTGTTTCCGAGAGGCAACACACATCAATCTCTAGACTTTCGAGCTTACGAGCCAGACCTGCTTATTGTCCTATACACATTCGAGTTCTAACATTGAACGAAACCA